GGCCGACCCGAGTTCGATTCCTCCGCCCCTCTCGGAGAGCCCGGCAAGCTACCAAGAGTATTCGATATGCCAGACACACTAACAACAAAGTCTCCAATGGAGACGTTACTGGGCCCGCTCGAGCAAATCGACGATCAATGGGAGGGCCTTTTTTACCTTTACTTAAGCTGGGACCTCCACCTCCTTCCTTTGCACATGATGTTCCCAGTTAACAGACCTTTGGACTCAGACTAAATCACACTGCTGGCTTTCCTGGTTTGCCAGCTTGCAAATCTCAGAAGTGGGACTTCTTGTCCACCATGATCCCACGAATCAGTTCCTATAATCAATCACCTCTTATTTTCATCGTGATCTATACTTCTTATTCTTTCTCAGAAGCCTGCCTAATACTAATTTCACAGCAGCACACAATTTTACTTCTTATTTCCTCACCGAACTCACAGGACAATTTAGTTCAGAGAAAGTTCCTCCATTAAGAGAGTGACTTAGGGTCAGAACGACTGTACAGCAGATAAGGCACTGACCTTGCATATGGCCACCTGGAGTTTGATTCCCGCCATCCCATATAGTTGCCCAAGCACTGCCAGGAGTAATTCCTGAATGCAGAGCCAGGAGTAACGCCTGAACATTGCTGGGTGTGGTCCCAAAATAAACAAGAAGACTGATTTATTAAAAATCAACTAGGACATGATCCATAGATGTTCTCTTGATAGACTCAGTGCTTTACCCTTCCCTTCAGTCTTCAATAACTAGTCACTTCCAAGGACTTTGAGACTTTGGTATATTTAACTTTTCTGGGGGAGTGAATGCCCGTTTAACTCCTTTGCAGACTTTTTGACTTAAAAGAGCTGAGTCCCTCTGGGGGAAGCTTCAGAATTTCCTTAGAGAAGAGACTCTGGAACAACCCAGCTAAAAGAGGCAACCAAGCAGTCTCCTTTAAAGCTGCTTTTTACAAAGCAAGTTTATTGCTCTTATGGAGATTGAATATCTGTTTGCAGAATTTTGGGCAAATTGGTGGTGCTTATGGAGGGTCTAATTTCCAGAAACTTCCACTGGTACCACCTGGAAGCCATGCTGTTTTTATACCATCTAACCTGCCTGTGACAGAATCAAGACCAGGACTAGTAGAATCTCCAGCCTAATGTCCCATGGAGCTGTAAGGACATAGAACTAGCTGATGAGTAATAAGGGGAGGGGGGTGCGGAGCTGATTGACATCCATAGGGAGAGGTGGGGCAGGCACACTGGGCAGGTTGTTTTTAGAGGGACAGCCATCCTGATCCAGCCTAAGGTGGATGAATGATTCATATTTGAGCAAGGGAGGGAGGGTCCATGGCAGTGGGGCAGGGGCAGGGGCAAAGGTCAAGGTACAGAAGAAGTTCAAGGCTGCAGACACTTGGGAGAAGAGGGGAGGAATCAGTTCAGGAGGTAGAGAGGAAAGAGAATCAGGGTGGAGGGTATCAGCTTGAAGGGAGAAATCAGTGGGGACAGCCAAGTAGTCAGAGGGTCAGAGGTGTCCCCTCTCATTGTCACCAATCTCCTGACTTACTGGGGATATATAGATGTGTGTGTTTGTGTGTGTGTATGTGTGTATATATACACACATATATTAAATGGTTATACTGTAGGGTGTTGTTCTTGAATGGGTTTAGTTCTCTGCAGAGTGAGCCTTAGAGACAATTAGAACAAAGGCCCAGGACAGTGAGGATGACACAGGATACCCCAAAGTGCCCTTACCACTCACTTATGACTCACTGACTGTTAGTTAGCTCCTTGTTTCTGTCCACTAGGAGTTGACAGGAGCAGACGATACAGGCTGGAGGGAATTAACGTTTCTTTGGAACTTTGCCCTGTGTCTTGGATCATACAGTGTTAGGTAATCTCAGTCCTGATATTCATCTTCTTGGATTCTGTCCTTGACATCTCTTCTTCCACATCAGAAAGTAGCTGAGAAGGGTGTAAATGGGGTGTAGGAGCATCCAGTGAGTGAGCCTGAAGCCACATGGAGAGCTTATCATTCCAAAATAGCCCACTTGGAGGTCCCACATTGGAGTTTCTGCGTCTGTAATTCCATCAACCCAGACAGGCAGAAGAATCATTGTCATTATTGTGTAAATGAGAAAACCAATTCCAGGGTGACTAGCAACTTATTGAATGTCATAAAGACTCACAGAATGAGAATCCTAAATCACATAGGAAAGGGAGACATTTGGGGATAATTGATAAACTATGAATGCACATTGCAAATGGGATGTAAGTACTAACACACTATGGTTTCCTGGGTGGGAGAAGATTAATTTTAGGTGTTAACTTGTATGGGATCAAGGACGCCCAAAGAGCTGAACTTCTAGACTGTCCCTACCCTTCACTACCACCTCTCCCATCCATCACAGGACTAAGTTACAGGGAAGTCTAGGACATACACGCAGGACCTAGAACAAGGGACAAAGAATGAGCAAGGCCAGAAAAAGAGGCTCATGACCCACAGGAGGAATGATGGAGGGAAGAACAAGGGGCCATGGTCAGGAAAGGAGAAAGTTTGTAGGAGACACTTGGAAAACATCTCTAAGTCAACTCTATTGGGGAATGCACAATTGTCTAATAAGCAGACCCCATAACAACGTATATTACACCCACATTTACAGAAATGCCAGTGCCTCAGAGTTGGTCTAGGAAGAAAAGAGGGCAACTAGCATAGAAGGATTACTACCGAGATAGAAGACTCTGGTAGATGCTTTATCCTTTATCTTGGGAGATGGGCATAACCTTCATAATCTGTAAAGATATCTTTACAGATGAGAAAATTAAGACTTAGAGAGGTACAGCTATGTGTCTAAGGTCACCAAGTCTGGCCTGAAACGAAGGCTAATCTCAGTGCAAAGGCCTGCTCTTCTATTCAGACCACATTAATAATGCCTTGGGACTAGGATCCACCATTTAGAAGCTTGCAATCAGACTTAACCACTCTGTATAATCACAGGACAGAACATTTTGAACTAATGTATACCCCCAAAGAGAAGGGCTAATGGGCAATTTGAGTTATAGTAATTCCTATTCAAGTTATAGTGTTTCCCTTTGCCGTAGCCCGAAGAAATAAGAGGTTGAGCTAAAGTTATGGTGAATTGCTTATCCTCAGCAGGAAGTTAAAAAACCTGAGGGAGAAGCGGCTAGCCCTTGAAAGTGTGTACCTTGATTGCTGCCTGGATACAGGGCGACATGGTCCTTTGCCAATGCATGTTCTCACAAAAACGTGAGGATTAGCATGTTGTAGATTCTCAGATAGATTCTGATGGATATACTAAAAAAACAATGACAGATTTTAAGTCTTTCATTTCAGTCTTCATTCCTAGAAAATATACACGGACTCACTATATCAAACATCTTGTAAAATATCCAGATTCCTGAGTTCTGATCTAATATAGACTCTAATAGCTGGTATCAACCAGATTTAGAAAAGAGGATGTTTCATTGGCAGCTAAATGAATGTTATGGTTTTAATTCTAACCACACGCATGATTGAAAATAAGAAAAACATGCCAACATCATTAATTTTTCTATATGGGAGTGATAATATAAGAGATATCTGGACAGCAGATGCCCAGGTTCTTTAGTGATTCCAGTACAAAGAATCTCAAGACACCAGAGACAACTCTAGAAACTTAGCTCAAGTACATCAACCCCACAAGAAAGCTTCACTTGCTGGGCATTTAAGAACAAACTGCCCAAACTGCTTGGACATCAACTTGTCAACAGAACCAAGATTGTGTGTTTCTTCTACCTTTCACTTCTAGTCTTAAAAGAGTTCTACTTACTGGAGTGGGTCACACAAAACTGTATCCAATGTCTCTGGGAAGCAGGGCAGTGATTATCAAGAGTTCACACCAACAACTCTCCTTAGCAATTCAAAAGTTCATGCACTTCAAAAAAATGCATACAGTGCATGGCACGATAGTCTGTTAGTAAAGAAGGATGCATCACCCATGACTAACAATGAACTTTCTTTAACTTAGAACAAGTAGGAACTCATTGTATGCATGAAACCCTATATTAGCAGTTTCGCAAATCACCGTGTCCATATATATATATATTTTTTTAATGAAGAAAATGTAAATGAAACAAGTAGGAACCATGAGAAGTAAATGGTCCTTTACTTCTAAAGAAACATTCCAAGATCAAGTAAAGACTTGGAGGAGGGACAAAGAGTTACAATGACAATAACAAATTCCGAGGGAAACTTTTCATGGAAAGGGCTGTTAAAAAATGACCACCAATTACTTTTGAGGGGTGTTTTAAGAATTATCTAATTAAGACTAAATTGTTTCCAATATTCAGTCACTCCTCAAATAACATACCTGAGAAATCTCTAAGCAACTTTAGTAGTTGCAACTTGCTGACTGAAAGCAATAAAGTAACATTGCATAGAACAAAAGCACTTTTGTCTGACCATGGTGATGCGGGATCACTAAGACCTTCAGTCACTCGCAGGGCACGATCCCAATAGTGTTGCTCCTTAGTCAAGATACTTCCCAAATCTTTTGAGTCTTGCCTGGTCTCAGGTGTCCCCTAACCCACACGGAGTGAACCGGGAGTAGCTGGGAGGCTGCAAAACGTTAAGTGCTCTGCAGAGCCTCCGATCACAGCATCGACGGCGCCAGGTCTTACAGTTCGGAGAATTGGAAAAGGAAAGTTTGGGAAAGAAGCACCTGTGCCAGCCCTCCGGCGAGGCAGAGGCGAACGTGCGGGACGGTGCGCATCCCCGTGCCCAGACCGGCCGGCGCGGACGCTCCATTGGTTTTTGATTGCAAAGAAGAAGGGGGGAGGGGGGGGAGGGGGGGAGGGTAAAAAAAATAAAGTGGGAAGGGGACAAGGCGTGCTGCACCCCCGCCCTCGAAATTCCCGTTCCCACCAAGAGTGGGGTCCGGGCTGGCCCCGCAGGCAGCTCTGCCCGTCGGGCCCGGAGGAGACCCCGCGCGCCCCGGCCGCCCGCTGCGCCCCACTCACCGCTCACGCGCGCCCGCGCAGCCGAGCCCGGGAGCGGGGGGCCCCGGCGGGTGCCGCATGCCCTCGAATGGCGGCGACGGCGCGGCCCGGGCTCCACGGGCGACGAGCAGGGGAGGACGCGGCTGCGCGCCCCGCTCCAGCGGCCGCCGCGAGCGCCCAGCCCAGGACAGCCCGGCCGCGGGGGGCGGGCGCGGAGGGCGGAGGAGCCGCGCCCCGCCCTGCCCCGCCCTGCCCGCGTCCCCTTCCCACGCAGGGCACCCCGCGCCAGCCCCGCTGCGATCTACTGCGCCTCCAGGCGGGTCTTGGGCACCCTGAGCTTTTTTTAGGGAACCTTGTCTCACGTTCAGGCAGTGGAGCGAGGAGGGAACACTGGACCCTCACCCCACCCGTGGCTACCCACCCCCATCCACGCCTAGCTCACCGTCCTGTCCAGACCTACCCCGGTTTTTCTCAAATCCGAACCCCAGTTTCCGCGGTCACGGACAGCTTGGGAGAGGGGAAGGACACGTAAGTGGAGCTGGCCCCTTGGCCTTTTAGATGCCTTTGAGACAGAAAACAAAACAGAGCACTGGCAAGGTCTCCCTGGATCCCCGCGCCTTCTGATTACAGAGAAAGCCTCCCACCCTCGGGTCCGCCTCACTCCCACCGGTAGAGCAGAATGGGGTAGAGCAATCTCAGAACGCTGGACCCCAAGGGAACCCAAGGGAAGGACCCCAAGGGAAGCCCCGTGAAGTGGCTACTGCCTGCCACACTGGCTCTTGGGGACACTGATGCTTGCCCATGTCTTTCATGCACTCATTCATTCCTTCTTCAGTCATTCAAAGGTTACGTTTGCTTCGTATGCTGGCCTGCAGCTATATCCCAAAAACAGACAATATCCCACCATTGGGAAAATTCTGCTCTCTCAGAAGATTTTTTTTTTTCTTTTTGGGTCACACCCAGCAATGCTCAGAGATTACTCCTGGCTCATGCACTCAGGAATGACTCCTGGCGGTGCTCGGGGGACCATATGGGATGCTGGGAATCGAACCTGGGTTGGCCATGTTGGCTGCGTGCAAGGCAAACGCCCTACCCGCTGTGCTATGGCTCCAGCCCCTCTCTCAGAAGATTTTGGACTGTTTTATTCCAGATGCAACGGGCCTCATCCCACAACCCACGGTGTTCCTCACACCTTCACAGGTGCAGCTACATATTGATCAGCACGGACAGAGGGCTGTGGCCTCTCCTGATATTTAAGAAAATTCCCATGGCATCTTACCCCTGTAGGGGAGTGTGCAGCTGTCAAGTCCGGGGCTAAAGAAAACTCATGCTTACCAGAACAAGGAAACAACAACAACAAAAATGCTTGTAAGCCAAAGATGATATTCAGTGGCAGAGCACATGCTCAGTTGTGTGAGGCCTTGGATTTGGCCCCCAATATCATAAAAAGAAAAGGAAAAAGATATTTGTAAATGATTATCAGGATGAGGTCAGGGGTGAAGAGCTCAATTCACAGTGCTATAGGGCAACCTGATGGCCAAAGAAATTCTCAGCCATCACACTTAACAATGGTTGGCTCAACAGATGTGTAGTATATTGAGTATGCTGAAATAAGGCTAGATTAGGCGATTAATGCCCATTAAAGCCTTCTTCTGATGGAATAAGTTTGTGTTGGAAGAATTTGGTCCTAATAATATAAGACTAACACCCCAGAATGGTAGAGACAAGGGCCAAGAAGATTGCTCCATGGTTGGAAGCCTGCCTTATGAGCTGGGGGAGAAGGCAGCTGAAATAGAGAAGGGATCACTAAGTCAGTGATGGTTGGAGGGATCACTCATCACTTGGGATGGGAGATAGTAGTGCTAAAAGTAGATAAAGGACCAAACATGATGTCCTTTCATTATCTGTATTGCAAACCATAATACCTGTAAGTAGAGAGAGAAAGAGGGAATTGTCTGCCATAAAGAAAGGGGAGGGGTGGGATGGCTTGGGGAGGGGGAGAGATGCTGGTGACATTGGTGGTGGAAAATGTGCACTAGTGGAGGGTGAGGGTTCAATCACTGTATGACTAAAACTCAAACATTAAAGTTTTGTAACTTTAGCTTACAGTGATTCAATAAAAAAAAAATCTTTTAAACACAGGAAAAAAATTGCTTCCAAGTTCCAAACAACATATTAGCAAGTCACTTTGGAAGCGGGACATATTTTAACTTGGGAACTTCCTGAACTTGAGCACCTCAAGGGAAAACAGGAATTCTCTAAAGCCAGATGTGGCTACCTTTAGTGTATGAATCCAACAGGTAGAAAAGAATACAATGATCTGTGCTGGCAGAAGGCGGGGGCGGGGGGGGGAGTATTTCAGCTCAATGGTTTCTTAATACCTGACGGTAAGTTTAAGGGAAATGATTGAAGTGAAGGCTTGTGGGGATCATTCAGCTAATGGATGTCTAGATGAGGGGAAAGGGACAGGTGCCAACAACAGGTGAAAAGAAAGTGATCCTGAATCCTAGTTTGTAGAAGGAAGCTCAGGGATAATCCCCTAGAATCTTCCTTAAGTCCTTGTAGGGATTGTGATAACATCATTTCTATAGTGGGGGGAATGGATGTTACTTCATACAAAGGAATTCTAATGACCGAAGGAATAATTATGGTCTCAGAGAACCGGTGTCAGCCAACATTGACTCAGCAAAGAATAAATGCTTCGGAAATTAATAACAAACGCTGAAGCCTTGTGGAATTTGAGCAAGAATCCCTTCTCCCTTTTCACAATTAATGTCACAGAGGAATGCCCCCTACTCGGCTCGACCCTGCAGTCATACTGGGCAGATTTTGTTATTCGTTTGTGGAAGGATCTGAACTTAATCTCTGTGAAGAGATTTCTCATCTGTACTAATTAGAAATGAAGACGTTCCTACAGCAGGTGATAAAATGGCAGGAAGTGGAATGGCAGCCATGAAGCAGGCAAAGTGAGAAGTATCTGAAACTACAGCTGATTGGAAGCTTTGGAGGAAGAACTAAAAAGGTTAACTCTGGGGCTAGAGTGATAGCACAGCAGGTAAGGTGTTTGCCTTGCACGTGGCCGACCTGGGTTCGATTCCCAGCATCCCATATGGTCCCCCAAGAACTGCCAGGAGTAATTCTTGAGTGCAGAGCCAGGAGTAACCCCTGAGCATCACCGGGTATGACGCCCCCCCCCTCAAAAAAGCAAAAAGAGGTAAGCTCTATGGAAACGAAAGGAAAAGAGAGGTACTAAGCATAACTAATGAGCAAAGCTACTCTGTGAAGTAACTGACAAACACTTGCAACGTCAGGTGAAAAGCAACAGAAAGTCACAGAAATGCTGCAAAATTACATAAAAGTTTAAGTCAAGAGACTGATATGGAGGCGGGAGCCATAGTACAGCAGATAGAGCACTGGCCTTTCATGCAGGCAACCTGAGTTTGATCCAAGGCATCCTGTATGTCGCCTGAGCATGTTACTAGTGATCCCTGAGGTAAAACCAGGAGTAAGCCCTGAGCATGACTGGGTGTGGGCACCTCCCTCTAGGAAAAAAGCCAATGTACTGATATGATGATGTGCATTGTATTTCATATCAAGTGTGGAAATCACTCAAAAATATCTTTTAGGAGCAGGAAGATGGCTCAGTAATTGAAGTGCCTGCTTGCAAGTATGAGGCCATAGATTTAAAGCCAGCTGCTGCTGCATGTGCCAAGTGAAGCTTGGGAGCTCTGCTATTTGTGCATGGTACTTCTATTGTGTGATAGTCCCAGTATGACCAGAGATCTCGGGTTGCACCAAAGCCAGGTGTGACCCTCCTCCCCCCAGGGCACTGCAGCCTGGGGTGCAATTTCTCTGGTGAGCACCACATACCCTCTCTATGAGCACTGGCTGAGTGTGCACGAGCTCTGCAACCTGATGTGCAGACTCTAGTGTGCACCACAACCAAGCAACTATCTGAGCCTCCACTCATGGAATCAACAACATTGACAGAAGGAAAAGAGAGGGAGAAATGCTTCTTGGATATTCATCTCATCATCACTGAATTCTGCATTGCTTTATGCTTGAGTAAAGAGTGATTGGTTTTAAAATAAAAGTCATGGTTTCCTAAGATCTTCCAGGAATAATCCCTGAGCATGAAACCAGGAGTAAGCCCTGAGAATTGCTGTGGATGGCCTCAAAACCATAAATAAATACATAAATGAATAAATAAAATAGAAGTCATGAGAAGAATATTTACTATATAAAGCCATAATAATTTAAATCGTATTTGTGACTACATGCAATTCACTTGTAAAAGCAACCTAGTTTGGTTGATAAATTGCGTGGCAGTTTTAATAATTAAAAGAAATCATTCTGGTGGGGCTGGAGTGATAGTACAGTGGATAGGGTGCTTGCCTTCCATATACCCCACCCAGGTTTGAACCCCATTACTCCATGTAGTCCTCCAAACCATATTAGGAGTGATCCCTGAGTGCACAGAATTAGGCCCTAAGCACTATCATGTGAGAATTCCCACCTCCCAATCCCCTCCAGCAAAAGATATCACACTATGCAAGAAGCAGGCATAGGAACATACTTATTTAACATTATATTTTTATAAAAAGTTGAACATAGACTATATGGCCCTCCCGTTGATCGTCGATTTGCTCGAGCGGGCCCAGTAACGTCTCCATTGGAGACTTTGTTGTTACTGTGTCTGGCATATCGAATACTCCCGGTAGCTTGCCGGGCTCTCCAAGAGGGGCGGAGGAATCGAACTCGGGTCGGCCATGTTGGCCGCTTGTAAGGCGAATGCCCTACCCGCTGAGGGCTGGAGCGATAGCACAGTGGGCATTCGATATGCCAGACACAGTAACAACAAAGTCTCCAATGGAGACGTTACTGGGCCCGCTCGAGCAAATCGATAGACTATATAGCCCAAATATTTTCTTTTCAAAAAAGACATGTTTAAATGAAAGAACAAATACTTCAAATAACTCACTATGGGAAGGTCCTAGTATGCATACTCATTTTTATATACTTTTATGTATCTTTTAATATTCTATATAAAAATTTAATAATAATACTTAAGTTATTAAAATTATTGTTTTTGAAACAGATAAAACCTGTGGCTTTGCAAAGCAAGTGTTCTACTGCTGAGCTCTATCCCCTC